CCACTTTCTTTGTGGGTCCTAAAAGAATGAGACTTTGAGGGGGAAATATGGAAGAACAGATTGCACCTACTGGAGCAAGCTTCATGGCTGCCACCCCCACCCTCTCCTGGGATCCCAGCTCTTCTTCCTCCTAATCCGGGGGCCTGTCCTGACCAGACCAGGCCAGAGAGAGAGAGAGAGAGACTCAGGTGACATCGGCATCCCTACCAGCTCCAGCAGAATCCCAACCACCAACTGGGATGAAATGGGATCAGAGTTAACAGAAGCAATAACAGCAGCTCCAGCTCATCTCAACCAACTTCTCTTTGCCTCAAAAGGACAGTTATTGCCATGTTGATACCCTCTGAGACTGTCCAACAAGGAGGTTTTTCCTCCTATAAACTCTCTCCAGCTAAAGGAAGAGGGAAGAAGAGATAGTGTTAAAATGGAAGCCTTATTCCATACTTCACGTTCCAAATGTTTTAACTATTTTTTCCTTCTTTTCTTTATCTTTAATAAAAGGTTAAAAGGATGTTGAAGAGTGTATTTGCCGTGATACTAAGCAGGCTGCTGTCTCCGCATATCCAACCCCAAACCTTGCTTAACACTATTTAAAGGTTATGTTAACACTGTTAGCCCATTGAGTGCATCTAAATTAATCACACCAAATACAGACAGTCTCTGTCTGATAAAACTAATTCTAGGATTGTAACAGGTGACTAAACAAACAGGGGTGGGGGACAGGTAACAATAAATACAAATACGTTTGCATAACTTATAGTCTTGTAGGTCATAATAGTTGCGGGTGGTCACCAATCTAACCAATGTCTAATTTGATCAGTGTTAGAGATGCAACAAATCCCATTCACAAAGGCCGCACAACTTCATCTCATCAGTAACACCAAAAATCTGGAGGGATTTATGTGTGTTTCTTGATTCTTAATGGTCAATCTGGTGCAAGTTGGCATATGTCCATTGACTTCAGTCGAGCTATGCCAATTTATGCCAGCTGATATATTAGCTGCCGGGTTTATTGCCCCTTTAGAATTTACTGGCCCTTTAAGATAAGCTGATCTAATGCTTGATGACATTCCTGGAACCAAGGCTGGAAAGTTCTGTGTCCGTTGGGCGACAGCCACTGGGAAGCGAGAAGCAGGAAAGCAGGTCTCTGAGTAGAGAAAGAGAAGGGACAGGGCAAACAGAGACAAGGGCTGGGGGACAGTTCAGTGTGAAAAGATTATAGAGACCCGGGAGAGAGTTAATAACAAGCTGGTTTCAATACCGGGCAAAGAAAAGCACAGTCAGCCTGGAAAAATGAAGCTAAGGGATCTGGGGACAAATGGTCTGAAATACAGACAGTACATGGGAAGGAGAAACCCAGACAGCAGTAAGGTTGACACCTAGGGGCAATAGCGGCTGGCAGCAATGTGACGTGAGGTGGATGTGAAATGGCGAATGAAATGTTGGCTTTTCTACACAAGTTACAAAATGCAGAGCTAAGTGAAAGTGCCTCTTGTATGTTCCGTTCACTTCTGCTCACCCCACGCCACTAGGGGGAGTTCAATTTTAATTTTGCTAAAAAAATTATTAGCGGGTTGGGGATGGGGTTTTGGAAATGATTTATAACGAAAAACTAAGACTCCAGTTCATCAGGGCATTTTTGAAGTTAAGCGTCTGCTTAGTGCTTTGCTGAACTGAGGCCCAGACTAATTCTTCCCTTACTCCCAAGGGCGTTGGAAGAGTAAATTCATTCATGTTTGTGAGGTGCTCAGATACTGTGGTGATGGAACCAGATAAGCACCTCGATACATGGTAAAGGCCTGATTCTGCATTCCTAGTACATGTCAAACTTCCAAAGTCACTGGCGTTGGGTGCACATGGAGTGCAGGTTCTGCCCTATGGGATACCCGTACTTGTAGATTTGGGAGCTCTAAGACTGCTCTGGGAATGCATGAAGTAAAAATGGCCCAAATCCTGAGGTCCCTATTAGGCAAATTCCCATTTTTGTCTCAATGCCTGATCCTGCTTGCATCGACCCCAATGGCAAAGCTTCTGTTGCCCTCAGTAGTGTAGGATCAAACCCCAAGTAAGGACTGAATAAAAACTGAGGAATAACCTGGTCCCAAATATCCAAGAACAGGAGCCGACTCATTAATGGAAAGATGCAAAATACGTAAGCTATGCAAATAGAATAAAAGCATTAGATCTGCTGTAACTCTCCTGGACAGAGGTAATGCTCAGACTGATTGATAATCCATACAGCACGTTTCTGACATTATATAAATAATGACATCGAGTTCTGCAATTTTATTGTGATTCTTGTGATATTTGGTGTCTGTCTTAAAGCTGCAAGCCTTGGAGGCAAGTGATTGACTTAGAATCTCAGTTTTATCAAAGAAAAAGTGACGTTTCTAGCTCTTCTGTTTGCAGAGAAAAGCTTTGAAAATATGACCTGAATGTAATCTAACATCTTAAAAACTGAGATGACAAAAAAAAATACAGCTCTTATTTTTTTAAGCTATTTCATGGTATTATGAGATTTGACCCATGATTTTTGAACACTTGGTGTTGGCAATGCTGTAGTGATACTGTGTTAATCTTTTTCATATATAGATTTGCATGAAACACACACAGCCATAATTCAATCTCATTTGCATCACCACCGAGGAGAGAATTTAACACAGAACATATTAGATAGAGTTTGGTAACTAATTTGACCAATTTCACCTCCTCTTCTGTTGGCAAATTGTCTATGAATGGCTCAGGAGATTTTTTGAATGTATCCATTGTTTCAAATGATTTATCAAATAACTTCAAATAAAAAAAAATAAACTCTTGCTCTGTAGGTCATTCACAAGCAATTCATTGTGTGGAAATATGCATAAGGATGGAAAGTGTGAACTGCACATTTCTATTTTTAACTATTATTGTATTTTATAAATTAGATAAAGAAGGCAGAGCCCTGTGCGACTTACTAAACCTTGCAGGAGACATTCCTGATTTCAGATCCAAACAGGTAACATGTATCAAGTGACACACTATCACTTCCCAAGCTCTCCAATATAACAAAATCGCTTTTGCCAACTAACTCAGTGTTCATAAGAGGCTTTTTTTAATGGTGCTTCTGTTTTCTCCCATGGGAAGTGATTTTTTTTTCTACTTCTTGCACCATCATCTCACTACTTTTTTCTCAGGTGAATTACTTTTTCACTAGCTCACACTGTTGTGCCACTTGCACTGTCTGTTCCAAAGTGAGCTCACATATTAGTTATAATTTTTTTGAAAGTTTTGTGTTTAAAACCTAATTACTAAATCATCTCCTATGTAGTCCTCTTTACTGCAACTAAAGGTCCAGTCCACACTTAAAAGTGGTACCAATATAACTGGTTGTGGGGGAGGGGGAGCGGTGATTTTGTTTTTTACTGATATAATGATAGTGGTACAACTTCTGGCCTGGTTATAGTTATACCTGTATAAAGGTGTCTTATACAGGTACAGTGTTTCCCCTTTTTGACCCGAGTGGCTAGTCAAAATTTGGGGCCCTCTGTGTGAACCAGTAGGGCATAAACATTGGTAATAGGTATGTCTTTCATGCAGTTTTGTTTTTTTACAAAGAACGGTACAAAGTTCTGTATCTCTGAACACAGAGAGTCATATAGCAGGAAATACCTTTTGCTCACAAAACCAAGAGCACTCTTTAAAGCCTGAACCCTGTAGGCTATAGCTATTTGCTAGGTAAGGCATAGGCATAAGTTAAGGCAGTAAAGCAATGATCCTATAAGCCTACATCCTATAAGACATTTCCTTGAGCAGTTAGCATAAGGCTTTGGGGCCTATGAACCCTAGCATGAGTGAGTTACCCAGCAGTGACTCTGAGTTATTGAGGAACTGGGAATATTAAATTCAGGGGATTTTTGTATATGACTAGGTAACCACAGGAATATGAATGGATACCAGCTTTTGGATATTGTAGGATAAGAACATCCGCAGATGCATAACCACAAACTTGCCTTGGCAACAAATTGATGTATATGACAATATGCTGAGATCATTCATAAACTAACCTATGGATAAGGTCACGCTAATAGTAGGACGGTGAGGAAACACAAATAAGGAAGCGGGGGAAAAACCCTGCTGAATATGCATTAGGTGTAGTGGTGTAAGTATAACATATTATAAAAGTTATTTGAGGAAGATAATGATTAACATTTCAGGTTGTTCTGCAAGGGATGGTGTGAGTATTTGGATGTTCAGATGTACGTTCTGTATTATCTTGCTGGGTTAGAGTGTTGGTGACTGTTTTAATAAAACGGTTACAAAAACAGAAGGGCTCCTAAGAGTGGGTGTTGCAACTGTGCACACTGTGGTTCCCAACTGAACAGTAATTTTAATAACACTGGGCTGGATCTTTGGACAGGTACCTATCAAACCTCAGAGTGTTAACTGGGGATTCTTAAGTAATCAATATAATTAATACACAATCCATAGATCATGCACCAGCCCCTATAGTGATAGGGATACAACTTTTATGTCTAGACAAGCCCAAGTCTCAAAGCTCTGCCGGTTCATAAAGACCACCATGCTTCTTGCTTGTCTCTGCATCCTTTGGTAAAAGCCCATCTTCTTCTGGGGGATGAAATACTCTCCAAGAATAATGTCATAGTTATTCTAATTTCTTTCCTCAGAAAGCACAAATTATTTTTAAATATTTTCAGCTTCATTGTCCATTGCATAAATTGTACTTTGCCACAATTGGAGCTGCCCTCCAGGCTTATCAAACTGAAAGTCTTTGTGGCGGGTTGAAATCTGTCTTGGCAGGCCAACGGAGGAGGCTGGCAGCTCATCCTTTGGAGGTTTCTTTTTCCATTCAGTTTTCTACATGCAGGAGAACAGATGACCTAATGGGATTACACAGTAGGTCTAACTCAGGGCAAAATCTGCTAGTCAGACAGGCTACATGAAATGTGTTGTCCAGGGAGGCAAGAGCAGATATGGGACAAACGTCCCCTGACAATTTTCAGTTTCATTTCAGAGGGAAAATGAGATAAACCCCCTCAGATGGACAGCAGTTCCGTCAGTCTCAAGAAGTTCAAGTTTGGGAAGTTGAAGGTGGTGCGTCGGCACTTGCTGCAGCGGTATGAACATCAGCCCTTCGTCTCCTGCCTGGCGGGGCTCTACAGCTGCCGGTGGAAGCGATATCAGCGGAGAAGGACTGAGCCAGGACAATGCTGCTGCAAGATGGTATGGTTAGCATGTTGTTACTGTGAACTGTTAGTTACGGGACAAGTCCATCATCACACTTGTATTCGAAAGGTGCTATGGGCCAAACTCTGCCCTGATTTATGCCTCATGCAAACTTACTAGTATCTCTGGAGGATGTTAACAGAAGCTACTGAAGTTAGACATTTTAAAATCAGCAGGTCCAATTAACTTTCATCCAAGAGTTTTAAAAGAGCTGGCCGAGGAGCTCCTGGACCATTAATGTTGATTTTTCAATAAGGCCTGGTCCCCACTAACCCCCCACTTCGGCCTAAGGTACGCAAATTCAGCTACGTTAATAACGTAGCTGAATTCGAAGTACCTTAGTCCGAACTTACTGCGGGTCCAGACGTGGCAGGGAGGCTCCCCCATCGATGCCGCATACTCCTCTCGCCAAGCTGGAGTACCGGCGTTGACGGCGAGCACTTCTGGGATCGATCCGGGATCAATTTATCGCGTCTAAACCAGACGCGATAAATCGATCCCAGAACATCGATTGCCTGCCGCCGGACCCTCCGGTAAGTGTAGACATACCCTAAGTCTTGGAGCACTGAGGAAGTTCCAGAAGACTGGAAGAAACCTAATGTTGTGCCAATATTTTAAAAGGGTAAACAGGATGACCCAGGTAATTATAGGCCTGTCAGCCTGACATCGATTCCAGGCGAGATAATGGAGTGGCTGATACAGGACTCCGTTAATAAAGAATTAAAGGAGGATAATGTAATTCATGCAAATAAACATGGATTTATGGAAAATAGATCCTGTCAAACTAACTTGATATTTTTTTATGAGTTTACAAAGATTGGTAGAAAAAAGTAATACTTAGATTTTTGTAAGGTATTTGACTTAGTACCACACAATATTTTAGTTAAAAGCTAGACCACTATAAAATTAACACGGCACACATTACATGGATTAAAAGATGGCTCATTGATAGTTCAATGTAAATAGGGAATTCCCCTATATTGCTCCAGGGGAGCCATAGGCCAAGACTCCCAGGGCGATGCTTTCCCTGACAGACGACCTCAGATATGCCTTTCCTCCCATCTGCCTACCACCAGAAGTTATATGGAACATTCAACGTGACAGAGCCACCATCCTCCTCTTCACACCCTTGGCCCAGACAATTCTGGTTCACAGAGCCCTGACGATGTCCACATGCCCACCTGTCAGGATCCATGCATTTCAGGATCTCTTAACTCAGGATGGGGGGAAAGTCAAGTACCCCAACCAGCACTCACTCCGCCTCGCAGCTTGGTGTTTGGATGGGTGTCAGAGGTAGAACGCTCATGCTTCACCCCTGTTCAGGAAATCCTGACCCCAAGCAGGAAGGATCCTACTAGAGTCTGCTAAATGGTGGTGATTTTTGGCCTGGACATGTTGCCACCAGCATTCACTTGATATTGTGGGTGTTCCAGTTATCCGAGACTATCTCCTCTTCTCAAAGACCTCAGGTTCAGCTGTCAGTTCACTGTGAGTACACCTAGCAGCGATTAGCGCCATCCTCCCCCCAAGTTCTATCTTTACACACCTGACCTCGATTCGATTTATGAAGGTCTTGATCAGGACCTTCCCACTGGTCATTGGGGGAATGACTTAATGAGACCTTAAGCTTATCCTCTCAACACGTGCAGGCCCGATCTTTGAATCTCTGGCCACATGTGCCATGACCCAACAGTACCCCATGGCAACAAACACCAGAGCCTTTGGCCTTGGATTGTATTTTCTGTAAAAACCTCACTGTTCTGCTTCTGAGCTTATTCAGCCCAGGAGATAGTCATTAGTTTGTAAACAGGCAGCACCCTCATGATATCCTCAGAATAAAACTCAGCCCTTTACATCCCCCAAGTGCCCTGGGTGCATTAACTAACTAATTCTCACAGCCTGACCAGGGTAAGCAAGAATTAGCCCCAGTTTACAATTAGGAAAGGCGCCACACACAAGAAGGATCAGTGAGCTGGGAGCCATGATGGCAGATACTCCTTATACAATATTTCACAAGGAGAAGATTTCTGTTAGGTTACACCCCAAATTCGTCCCCAAGATTGTGTCTGAGTTCCACATCAATTAATCAATACACTTACCTGTATTCTTCCCAGTGCCCCACACTTCTTCCGAGGAGAAGAGACTTCACTCCCTTCATGTCAGGCATGCCCTGGCATTCTACCTGCTGAGAACCAGACCCATTAGAAAATCTCCAAGGCTCTTTGTTGCTATGGCAGAAAGGGCGTGAGGAGAAGCCATATCCTCACAGAGGATTTCGAAGTGGGATTCAGGATGCATCTTAGAATGCTACAAACTAGCCAAGCTTCCCCCTCCTGGGCGTATCACAGCTCACTCCATTCAGGCACAAGCGGCCTCCACGTTCTGCTGCAGGACATCTGCAGAGTAGTGACTTGGAGTTCTGTCCTTACTTTCACATCACACTACGCTCTGACTCTGGAGAAGGGACCATGTTTTGGTTCTGTGTTTGTACAGCGCCTAGCACAATGGAGTCCTGGTCCATGGCTGTGGCTCCTCAGTGCTACCGCAATACAAATAAATAACAAATGCGACAACTGTAAAGAGTTACTTCATTTTTTTTCTCATGCTGAGCGCCACTAGAAGAGGCGATATAACTAAGAGTAATGTGATTGAATTAAGAAAAGGAAAATTTAAGCTAAAAATCAGGGTAAACTATAAATGGTGTGAGCAGGTAGATTGTGGGATCGTCTCCTATGGGAAGAGGTGGAGGCCTCCGTCACATGAGTGATCTAAAGCTCTGATAGAGAAAGCACTGAAGAATAAATTGTAGGGAACGTTTCTCTGCCAGTACAGAATTGGACTAGGTGATCTAACAAGGTCCTTTCCATCTCTGACTTCTGTGATTCTGACACCAAGCCTCATGCATCTGGGATAAATTGAGAGTCAAAAATATGCCTGCAATGTACGCTGTCCGTCGTTGTGTAAACCAGGCTTTAACCACCTGGCCTTTCTCTCCATTTCCAGTGGGAATGTGTGTTCTTCCCGTTTCTCGTTGGAGCATTCTGCCTCTCTTTGGTCTTTCTGTACATGTGGGGGGAAGCAAAGAATGACTACAATAACTTCGACTGGTAAGTACCACAGTCTCCCTCCTCCCCCGCCCATTTGAAATTAGGTTGTCAATAGCCAGTTGTCTGCCTGGAGAGGAAGGAAGGGTAATGAGGTCAGGCAGCATGTTCTAATATACTGAGCACGGGACTAGCCAGAGTTCTTCTCTCAGCTCTGACAACACCCAGCTGTGCGAAGCTGGGTACATCGCGTTGGGCATGGTCCTGTGAGAAGCCCCCATTGCCTGTAAGGGGAACTGAGAATACTCAGCATCTCACAGGATTCAGAGTGGTAGCTGTGTTAGTCTGTATCAGCAAAAACAACGAGGAGTCCTCCTCTCACAGGAGATGCTCAGCATGTTAGATCCTTAATCAATTTGTGTGGCGCCTTTCCGAATTGGAAACTGGGGCTAATTCTTGCTTACCCTGGTCAGGCTGTGATGGTTAGTTAGTTAATGCACCCAGGGCACTTGGGGGATGTGAAGGGCTGAAATTTATTCTGAGGATATCATGAGGGTGCTGCCTGTTTACAAGCTAATGACTGTCTCCTGGGCTGAATAAGCTCAGAAGCAGAACAGTGAGGTTTTTACAGAAAATACAGTCCAAGGCCAAAGGCTCTGGTGTTTGTTGCCATGGTTGTACTGTTATCCCTGGGTTATAACAGGAAGTATCTTCAAGTTGTTGTTAGATGGAAATGCTTATTGAAATATCAAGGCCAACATTGTCATATCCAGATACCTAAAGTCAGGCTCTTAAATCCATCTAAATTTAAGAGGCTTGAATTTCACCAGAGCGGAGCTGAGATGCTTTGGGAGGCTCGAGGTGTAAATATATATTTAGGAGTCTGACTTTAGGCCCCCACGGGTGAAAACCTTGGCCCTTAAACTATCTGTGAAACGAAAGACAATACCTACAAAAGTCAAAATGGGCTGTCGGCAAACAAAGAAAACACTTTGGTCTGTCTTCCCTTCCTACGCTCATCCATTATCTCTCCTCTTCTCTTCACCTCCCCATTTTCCTCCCTCCCGCCACCTTCCCTTTCTCCCCACAGCTCAGTAAGGCTCTCGCCCCCTGAGTATCTATTATACCTTTTACTTACATGGCTTCAAAACTGAGTGGGGTGGGAAGGACTGGCATTCCCCCGGAGTAGATTATCATTATTTGTATTACAGTAGCACCTAGAGCCCATAACCCAGGTCAAGCCCCCGTTGGGTTCGGTGCTGTACACACGCATAGTGAGAGACAGTCCCTGGCCCAAAGAGTTCACAATCTAAATAAACAAGACAGACAAAGGGTGGAAGAAAGGAAGGATTGCTATTTCCATTTTGAAGATGGGTGAACTGAGGCAAAGTGACTTGCCCAAGGTCACATGGAAAGTGTGTGGCAAAGCCTGGAACTGAATCTAGATCTGAGACTCAGTCTAGTGCCTTAATCACAAGAGCATCCTTCCTTTCCAATATAAAGATGTTTGTAATTCAAGCATAACAATTGTTCTGGGGACATGTGCCCTGCCTGTCTCTAGGGAAAGGCACCATGGGAAGAGGGGAGGGATGAGGGCAGAAGAATAGCTCAGTGGTTTGAGCATTGGTCTGCTAAACCTAGGGTTGTGAGTTCAATCCTTGAGGAGGCCAATTAGGGATCTGGAGCAAAATCAGTACTTGGTCTTGTTAGTGAAGGCAGGAGGCTGGACTTAATGACCTTTCAGGGTCCCTTCCTGTTCTATGAGATAGGTATATCTCCATATATATAATGAAATGAACAAAAAGACTGTTTTTTTCCGTGCTCCTTCTCTTGGTTTTTTTCTGCTTCATCTAAAAAGGTCAAGCTGGGAAGGCAACTTTGTGTTTGTCAAACAGCTTCAAATTTGAATCCAGCAGAGCAGAAGGATTATCATAGCCAATTGGAGTTGAGCAATTTGCCTGTTCACAGCAAATTGAGAAATAATCAGCTGATGACTATGCAAATCCTTGCATTCTGAAATATGCATGAAGAGATCATGCAAATTAGACACCTAGAACCAATCAGAGTTCAGTGAACTCCAAGACTGGGGGGGAAAACTGTAATATTGTTATTTATTTGGGTCAGTAACTGTCTGTGCAGCACCCCTCTCCTAATCTTAATCTGGGCATTTACAGTATATTTGGCTCAACATTTTGGTCTCTGGGTGCTTTAGGAGTTCTGAAAGTAAATAAAAAACCCCTGTGCCTTTCTCCACCCAGCCCCAAATTGGTGCATTTTTGGTTGTTTAAAGGGGTGGGAATGGAGTGGTTCATTGTGGAAAGGCACCATCTAGCCCAGCCAGAAGTACCATGTTTATGGACCAGTTGCAAAGAAAGCTGGATTCTGATATTGTGTTGTTGGGCCTTGTCTTAAAAAGCTAGTGGTAGAAACCAAGACTTCATATAAAGGTGAAAACGAGGAATTCCAAGGGACACATAAGGCGAGTAGTTTGTAAGGGATTGGCTAGTTAAGTAATGTCAAGATGAAGTGGGGTGCGGATGTGGCAGGGAAACAAGATATTACTCCAAATGATGTCATTAAGTTCCAATATTGTGTAGCCTGTCAGGATTAGAAACACTTTGTTGGATCAATCCAATACTCTCAGGACCAGCAAGCTTGTCTGAACGATGCTCTTGGACCAGTGCTCAGAAATACATTGTGCCAGCGATGCCCCTCTGCTATGTACATTGGCCAAACTGGACAGTCACTACGCAAGAGGATA